GTATATATAAATACAAGCATAAATATAAATATAAATATAAAAACAAAGAAAGAAAGAAAGAGAGAAAGAGACAAGCAGAGGAGACAGAACAACAACAGCAAAAAAAACAAAACAAAAACAAAAAGACAAAAACAAAAAAAAAAACAAAAATAAAACAAAATAGAAGAAAACAAAATAAAACAACACAAAATACTAAGACAAAACAAAACAAAACAAAACAAAACAAAACAGAATAAAATAAAATAAAAAATAAAATAAAATAAAATAAAATAAAAAATAAAACAAAATAAAACAAAACAAAATAAAAAAAATAAAAAAAAAAATAAAATAAATACCTCTGGTGCCTGGGTCTGTATCTGGTTTAATAGCATACAAAAGGAAGGCGTCGAGCTCCCCCCGGGGGCAGCAGAAAGAGGAATCCTCGTCAACTGCTGCTGCTGCTGCTGCTGCTGCTCCTGCTGCAGCAGCAGCAACAACAGGAGAAACGAAACCCCACGAATCCTCACCGCAACTGAAATCCTTTCTCACCCCTTTGCTGCTGCTGCTGCTGCTGCTGCTGCTGTTGCTGCTGCTGCTGTTGCGGTGGTACCCAGCAGCATCTGCCGGCAATGCAGAGGCCCCGTTTGAAGGAGCAGCAGCAGCAGCAGCAGCAGCAGCAGCAGCAGCAGCAGCAGCAGGAGCCAGCTGGGATAGTATAAGTCTCCTTAAAGCACAATATAGACGACGGACAGATAGGGGGGCCCCCCCCCCATCTCTCCTCCTTACTATCAATCTGTGCTTCGGCAGCAAACCCTCCTCTATACAAAAACCTTCTAGCCCATTCAGGTCTGCTGCAATCACAATACCTATCTCTAGCAGCTCAGGTTCTACTTCTCCTGCTGCTGCTGCTGCTGCTGCTGCTGCTGCTGCTGCTCCTGGGACCGGTTGCTGCTGAGCTCCTGATGATGATGATCCCCCTGGGTTGCGGTAGCTACCTCCTCCTCCTGCTGCTGCTGCTGCTGCTGCTGCTGTTGAACCGGTAAAGGGAAGCAAACCACCCATGCTCCCACTGAATGGGCCCAGTGCTGCTGCTGCTGCTGCTGCATTGCTGCTGCTGCTGTTGCTGCTGCTGCTATAGGGTTCAAACCCCTGTCCCCCAAACCTCATGCTGCTGCGGCCTGCTGCTGCTTCTGGCGCCACCCCAGCAGCAGCAGCAGCAGCAGCAGCAGCAGTGGAGCGTCTACAGAGTCCATCTGGGCCGAACTCATGCTCCAGCTGCTGCTGCTGCTGCTGGTGCTGGTGCTGCTGCTGGTGCTGCTGCTGGTGTCTGAAGCGAGAAGCAGCAGCAGGATTGTGGGTGGCAATGCGGCTCAGGAAGGACCGCTGCGGCAGCAGGTTGGGGTGTATAGACAAGATAAAGACACGCGGATCTGCTGCTGCTGCTGCTGGCTGCGAGAAGACAACAGAAGGCAGTAAAGCATCCAGCAAAGGAGACAAACTAAACCCTGATCCTGCTGCAGCAACACCAGTACGCGCCAGGCGCCGTCGGCGGCTTGCTCCTCCTGCTGATGCTGTTGTTGTTGCTGCTCCTGCTGCTGCTGCTGGTGCTGCTGATGATGATGATGAGCCTGGTCCTGGTCCCGCAGCAACCAGAGCGCTGCTGCTGCTGCTGCTGCTGCTGCTGCTGCTGCTGCTGGCGGGTCCAGGGTGTGCTGCAGTAGCTGCTTCACTGTCTTTGGCTTTCTTCTCTTCTTCAGCAGCAGCAGCAGCTGCTGCTGCTGCTGCTGCTGCTGCATCAGCAGCAGCAGCACAAGTACAAGTATGTGGATGGGCTGGGAGAGAGGTAGCAGCAGCATCTCTTTTGAGAGCAGCAGCAATTGCTGCTGCATGCGCCGTAATTATATTTTTTATTTTTTCTGTTTTTGTCTCTTCTCCTTTGTCTCCTCTGCATCGTAGTGCAGCAGCAAGAGCAGCAGTAAGAGCATCACACACAGCAGCAGGAAGCGAGGCACACCCGCAGCACCTCTTCCCCCTGCTCCTGCTGCTGCTTCTGCTGCTGCTGCGTCTGCTGCTGCTGCTGCTGCTGCTGCAGCAGCAGCTTTTTGTGGGGCGGCGCAGGGGCTGAGTAAGACAAGGCAAAGACAGTATGTGTGGGGTTTCTTCTTTAATTATTTGTCTCTGTCTTTCATCGCCAAATAAAAAAAAATAAACAGCAACAATCTCCTGGGGTCTATGTAGATAAGCAGCAAGCACGCGGTGTATATGCAGCTGCTGCAGCATCTGCTGCAGCGGCGGAATACACCCCAAACGAGAGCGAAGCCTAGATAGGGTGTTTAGGGTATCGTCAAGCCCAGAGAAAGGTATATACACTGAGGTCTCTCCTGCATGCGACAGAGCCAGCAGCACCTGTGTACGCCGCAGAGTTCCTGCTGCTGCTGCTGCTGCTGCTGCTGCTACTGCTGCTCCTGCAGTTGGTGCCGCTGCTGGAATGCTGCTGCTGCTGCTGTTGCTGCTGTTGCTG